CCCCCCTGCTACCAAAACCTGGCCATGCAAATCCGATACACTGAGTCATACTCTCTGCCTCAAAACCTTCCTGTTTGCACAGTCACAGCAGTTCCAGCTCGGCAGAAGATTAATTTTGCCAAACTTTCAAGCTGGGGAAGCCTAAAAAGAGCACCCATAGACCTCAGAGGGCTTGGCAATTGAGGTTAGTACCACTCTCCTTACTTCATAGATGGGAAAACAGGTGAAACAAAGGGAAATTATTTCCTTGAGATTATGCGGCAGTTTGGATCAGGGAACTAGGGTATGAATCTCCTGTGCCCAGACCTGCTCTCCTAGGTGCTGTGGGACTTAAACTGACAGTTATCCCAGGGGAGCTGGTTGTCTTCATCATTTCTGCTGACTCCTCTCCCCCTCACAGCACCTCCTCATACTAAGCAAGGGTTTTTAGTGCCTAAACGGAGGTAGAAAAGTACAACTTTGGAAAATCATCTTGCAGCAACTCTGTGTAGTTCTGTATGTATCTAATTAGGCAGAAAAATGTGAACTGCATGTTTGAATTATGCCGTGTGTTGTGTTGATAAGGTCTTTTCATTTTCTGGCTATTTCCATATAAAGCACCCCTAGGAGGCAGGTTCCTAGTAGACTTCCTGGAGCTGCTGGCACTCTCCCTCTTCAAATAAATTGTTAATGGGAAAGTGAATACCTTTATTTCCTTGTTCTCCTCCATGATCCATAGCAGAATTTCTTGAAAGAGACACTTTCTTTTCCTCTGGCATCTTGATACATTTGTTGCTTCTGTTTAAATGGTAAATAGTTTGATGGCAAAGCCAAACAAGCAAACAAAAAAAAAACCCAACCAAACAAAAAAAGTTGTGTCTGCAAAGTTGCTTCCAGTAAACGTTTCCCATTTGTTTGGAATTCCTAGGAGACCACCCAGAAATGACCCCACAGTGTTGTTACAGCCTTATTGCTGAGCGACGTTTTGATCTTCTCTCCACCAGATATGAGTGACGTGAAGATGAAACCTTCTGCCACCTATGAGCTGTTAGTGGATGGTGTTGGGCCATGGGACTTCACTGGTGGTTTTGTTCCTTGTGAACTGCTACTTGTTGGAGAGGATGCCTTCCCTGTGCTTGTGAGCTCTAAGAAGCAGGTTCTGATCGCCGTTTCACAGTTTGGGAAGGGCCGGATGGTGGTTGTTTCCCATGAGGGAATCTTGAAGGACTCCAAGTTTTCCCAGTTCCTCAGAAATGCTGTGAGGTGGCTCAAACCCTCCCCTGAGGCCCTGGTTGGGGTCCATCCTCATTTGGATTCCCTCTCCCAGCTGCTGCTCGGGGTTGGCACCAAAGTGCAGGCTGGGGCAGAGCTCAGCTCTTCCCTGGGGGTCTACTGCATGGATGCCTACAGCACACAAGCAAAAGACCTGGTTGGCTTTGTAAAGGCGGGTGGAGGGCTGCTCATTGGAGGCCAAGCATGGTACTGGGCCAGTCGACATGGCAAGGAGAAGGTGCTGTTTGAATTCCCTGGGAACCAGGTGACCAGCGTGGCTGGTGTGTACTTCACAGGAAATGCTGTGGAGAAAGGCATCTTCAAAGTCGCCAAGAAAATTTCCAAGATCCCCTTAACTGTCCCGTGAGTATATCAACTGCTTTGTATTTAAACAACTGATCAGGTTATGCAGGTGAGGTATTTATAGAAGACTCTTGAGGTGAGAGATGAGGATGATGGCAAATGCTGGTTCTTTAATAGCCAGGATGGGATGCCATTGTTGTCTTCCAATTTAGGGGGACCTTCCTGCTGTTTACAATTAGAAGAAATGATGTCTTTGATGGCATCCAGGGCAGCTGGGCCAGGCCAGGGGAATTAATTCAAGGGGAAGGAACTGAAGGGAGCCATCTTTCAGAGCAGCTTGCCTGAGCAAGTGTGCCTGAGTGCAACACACAGCAACATGGGGACTGGGATGGGGAGAGAGGACACCGTCTCAGAGTGCCTGGCCAGGCCATGGGGGACACACAGCTGTGACCGTGGGGATGACACTGATGTGGTGTGCACAGGTAATTTGGCTACCATTGGTTTGGAAAAGGGTCTGGGCATGCTCCAACCCTGGAAAAATTCAAGGTCAGGTTGGACGGGGCTCTGAGCAACGTGGTCTGGTTGAAGATGTCCCTGCTCACTGCAGGGGGCCTGGATTAAAGAACCTGTGGTCTAGAGAACAAGTCTTAACAAGGAGCAGCTGAGGGAACTGGGGAAAAGGAGGCTGAGGGGAAACCTTTTCACTCTCTACAACTACCTGAAGGGAGGGTGTTGAGAGGTGGAGGTCCGTCTCTTCTCCCAAATAACAAGCAATAGGACAAGAGGGAATGGCCTCAAGTTTTGCCAGGGGAGGTTTAGATTGGATCTGTGGAAAAACTTCTTCACTGAAAGTGTAGTCAAGCATTGGAACAGGCTGTCCAGGGAGGTGGTGCATTCCTGCCAGTGAAAAGTCCTCTGATGCATCATATGGTGATTATTTACATCATATGGTCATTGATGGTTGGACTTGATGATCTTAGAGGCCTTTTCCAACCTAAATGATTCTATGAGTAACTTCTCTCCCTCTCCCCAGGTGTGTGTACATTCAGGGCAACTTTCCCACAGTTCCAAAACAGGTTGGAGATGGAGCACCAGTCCAGCCCTCTGGGCAGGCTCTGCTTGGCAGCGGCTAAACCTGTTTATCCTGTTGCTTGCAGAAATTCCCCTTCTGCAGGTGAAACCCAGGGGCTGGTGCAGAGCTGAGGGGATGAGCTGGGTGCCACCTCCCTTCTCAGTTTCTGACACAGGCTGTGGGCAGGAAATTGTGCTCCCAGTTCAGCTGGGATTCCAGCCTGGCCCCTTGGGTCCTGGAGCAGCAGGTGTAAAACTCAAGGCTGTTGTGAGTTGTATGGCACAGCAGACCAGGCAGCAGAGTCTGGGCATTGCTGTGCCATCTTCCTCCACCTCCCTTTGCCGGCGGGTGTGCCAGGCTGTGCCTCATGGCACTTTCCACTGAGTTACACAAGGCACAGTGGGTTATCTGAGGAACATGAGTGCTGCTGTGCTTCCTCTCTGTGGCAGCTTCGTTTCACTGCAGTGGAAGCTGCAACAATTACAGTAAAATTCCCTGTAGGTCTTTCCTTCACAACCTTTTCCTTGTGGATATATAATATTAAATTTCTGTTCTTTTCAAACAAATAAGTGGATATGGTACTCTCTGGATGCTCAATTTGTCTCCCAGTAAAAGTAGTAGAAAGCTCTGCTGTTGAATTCAGCAAAGTGCTCAGGAAACAGCTAACAAATGAATTGACTTAATTAAAATTTGCTGGTTGATTCTTGTTCCCACCTGCAGTGCATGGGCATGTTCCCACTGCCTCATGCACAGTGCATGGAAGAGGGAGAGATGTGGAGAATTCAGCAGAGAAAAATTACATAGCAATTAACAAGACTTTAAATGGTAACTAATGGTGAATTACACCTTGCTTAGGGTGCTTTTGTGGTGGTTTTGATTGGATCCAGAGCCACAGAGAAATTTAGATACCTAATTTGTGTGCAACACAACAGCTCTGTGCATCTGGGCCTTCCTGCTGGCCTTTGCTTGTCCCACAGAGAATCAGACTGTGCCCTAAGGCAGGTGCTGTGCCATGTGCCTGGCACACTCTCTGTGTGACAAAGGGTCTCAATAAAGTAACAACCAAAGGAGAACTGCTGATTTAATTCCTGTCCTATGGGCGTGTGTCATTTATTCTTACTGAGTTGACTGCAAAGGCCATATAACAACAGATTCTGACCAGGTATTGGGATAAAACTGTTTGGCAGAACCAGGAGAAAATGTAAGCGAAACAAATGAGAGTAATGCACCGTGTCTCTCTCCACAGTGACATCTAGGAGTCATATGGAAACAGCAGAGATAAGAGGGCATTGCACAGTATCACCTCGTTATGTCATGGAGACCAACTAGTGGTAATGTGAGGACTGTGTTAAGGACCTGATTCAACTTCTAGTCACTGATAATTTGTCTAGCTGTGTGTCTGCCTGTCCGTTCAGCCCACCTGGCCTACCTGTCCTTTCTTCAGTTCTCTTCTGTGGCAGAGGCTGGGAGGAATCATAGCATCACAGACTAGTTTGGGTTGGAAGGGACCTTAAAGCTCATCCAGTTCCAACCCCCCTGCCATCAGCAGGGACACCTTCCACTAGACCAGGTTGCTCAAAGCCTCATCCAACCTGGCCTTCAACACTTCCAGGGAGGAGGCATCCACAACTTATCTGGGCAACATGGGCCAGTGTCTCACCACTCTCACACCAAACAATTTCTTCCTCACATCTCATCTCCATCTCCCTTCTTCCAGTTTCAAGCCATCACCCCTTGTTCTGTCACTCCCTGCCCTTGGCCAAAGTCCTTCCCCAGCCTTCCTGGAGCCCCTTCAGGGAAATCTTTTGGGCTTGCCTAGTTGATAATGACTAGGATGGGGTAAATAGAGAAAGTTTCTGTTACAGGGTATGTGCCAAATCCTATGTCACTTGCAGTTTAAACCTGCAGTTTAAAAGATATGAAAGGTCTGATTCTTGAGTTTCTGCAATGCATTTAGATTTTCAAGCTGCTCTTCAAAGTCAGAAGTCTAGAAACTTCTTTTTAACCTCTTCTTTCTCTCCTTTTTTAAAATGAGTTCTGAGATTCGTACAGATTTGCTTGACTGCAAAACCTGAGGCTTTAAAAGGGAAAAATGAGGTATTGATGGATTTTGGTTTTAAATGAAAGAACTGGCAGCGTGATTTACTAGGATGAGGAAGGAAGAAGAGGTGGGGATGGACAAGGTGGCCTTTTGTGGAAAGGATTCTGGGATGAGGGCTAACTTGGACCTCTCTTGGTTTTACAGGCACCATGCCAACCTCAACCTTGATGCTGAGTTTCTCCTGAGTGGCGTGTCGGAGCTGGATTTGGTGACAGGGGGCACACCCTCCATCTTACTGGTGCATGGTGAACTCTCCTTCCCACTCTGCCTGGACAGGTCGCACTGCTGCCTCTTAGCTGCGGCACGCTATGGCCGAGGCCGTGTTGTGGTGGCAACCCACGAGAGCCACCTGTTCTCCCCAAAGCTGGCCAGATTCCTGCTCAATGCTGTCCGCTGGCTGGATGCTGGGAGAAAGGGGCTGGTGGGTGTGGATGCCAGCCTGAAGAAACTGTGTAGCCTCCTCTGTCGGGAAGAGGTGAAGGCACAAGTGTCGCAGCTGACAGGGGACATCAGCGTCTACTGCTGCTCTTCTTACAGTGACAGAGAGGCGGAGAGGCTTCACGCTTTTGTGGCAGAGGGAGGTGGCTTGCTGGTTGGAGGCCAGGCCTGGTACTGGGCTTCCCAGAACCATGGCAAAGCTGCTGTGGCAAAATATCCTGGCAACAAAATCCTCAACCGCTTTGGGCTGAGCATCCTGGGACAGAGCGTCCCGGCAGCTAAGCACCCGGCTGTGGGGTCTGGGGAGCACTACCACTTCCGAAAGGCCCTTGCTCTGTTCAGCAGACACGTAGACGAGCATGAGGAGCTCAGGTCCCCCTTGAAGGACTGGCTGCAAAGGCTGTCACAAGACTGTGCTGCCTTTCTGCACATCCCAGCCCTTGATTGCCCTGCCTATGCCTCACTCCACCGCGTCCTGACCAAGGTGCTTCAGAGAAATGGGATCCCACCGGTCAGCAGGCACTGCCCTGTCAAGAGCAACTCCAAAGAGGCAGTCCTCCTCTGCATGGCGACCGAGCTGTCCCTCACCATGACTGACAGTGGAGCCCTAGTGCAGAAATCTGCTACTGAGGTCTGTGGCCTCCCCGTCACTGTGGAAATCGATGGCACAAACCCAGGTGAGGAACGTATCTCTCTTCCTCTTGAGGCATCCTGTTGCTGGATGTGCCCGTCCTCGCTGTGCACGTGTCTGTGTGTATCTGAACGTGGGGACAGATGTGCAATTTCACTGTAGGCTTGTGAGGAGGCTGAACTCTGTGTAGCACTGGTCAAGTTCCTTTTGTGGCCAGCCCTGATTTCAGCTCTCTGAAACACTCCGTGAAAGTCCTGCTTCCTTGTTCTTTGTGCACAGGCACTTAGGGCAGAAGAACCACCTAAGAGAGGCACCTCAGGGCACTTGCACAGCACAATGGCTTTGGCAAGAAAGCCTCCTTGAGAAACTCCAGGCTCTGTGCTGCAGGTTGTTGTCACCATAGTTATGCTGATACAGTTGTCTATGGGGCCATCCTACAAAGCGGTAGGAAGAGGAGGCTGAGGGGAGACCTTATTGCTCTCTACAACTACTTGAAAGGAGGTTGTAGTGAGGTGGGTGTTGGTCTCTACTCCCAGGTAACAAGTGATAGGACGAGAGAACGGCCTTAAGTTGCGCCAGGGGAGGCTTAGGTTGGATATTAGGAAAATATTCTTCACTGAAAGGGTTGTCAAGTATTGGAACAGGCTGCCCAGGGCAGTGGTGGAGTCACCATCCCTGGAGGGATTTAAAGGATGTGTAGATGTGGTACTTGGGGACATGGTTTAGTGGTGAACTTGGCAATGCTGGGTTTATGGTTGGACTAGATGATCATAATGGTCTTTTCCAAACTATTCTATGAATTAGGAACAGAAGGTTCATTTTTTATCAAGATAATTTCAGCCTGAGTTATAGCTCAGTTTCACAACTTCTGTCAGCACAGGTGATGGAGTGAAGGTCTAGTTTTGGGGGTGGAAATAAAAGGTGGAAGCAGGGTGGGAACTTCTTGGGCTGACACCATCAGTGAAGCCAAGGTATTTAGTAATTACACCCTGAATATTTGTCTAAGCTTAGGCCTTGTATCTGTACGATCTTGCTGATATTCCTGCTCACAACTGATATGTCTAAACTCTAGGTTAAATTCCACTAGTAAGGTCTTATCCCCTAGACAGCTTTTTTTTTTCCTTTTTTTTTTTTTTTAATTGGAATATGATTGAGAGGAGTTGTTTGCAAACCATTCTAATGAGATGGAGACTTCTGGAGTGGCAGTGTCTGAATGCAAAGGAAATGCAGAGCGAAAAGTTGTGGAATAACTGGTTTTAACCCCAGTGAGTCAGGACAAAAGGGAAAAATTCTTAGGGTTGGCTGAACTGAATGGAGTGGATCAAACACAGTATTTTGTTTGACCAGAAATATTCAGAATTTGTATAATTTCACAGAAACAAAAAAAGAAAGAAATGCCCTTTCAAAACTGCCTTTGGTATAAATTCAGCAAAACTGAGATGAATTGGAAAAACATGATGATCTGGTCTAATTTGCATGTTTCCTTGGATTAGGTTTTGCTTGACAAAACTGGTCCTTTCTTGGAGGACACAAAAGGTTGTAAGTTGGGAGCGTTATGACAGTTGAGCTCTTTTTAGAACTTTTGCTGTTTGTGTTGAAATAGGTTTGGGTGAAGTTGATGTCAGGACGAGTGAGTGGATTTTGCCTGATCAGTACAGTGGAGATGGATCAGTTTGCACTGTGTATCACGAGTGCTAACAGAGATCTAGGCGGAGGAGACTTGCGTTTCCATAGGAAGACTGTGTAGCAACATCCTGAATGGTAGTGGTATGGTGGGGTACCCATCTTACCGTTACACCTAGCATAGGACAGTCCTTTTAGGCTTTCTCATAACTTCAGTCAGCTAGAAATGGGAATTCATGTAGGCCCCAGCTTGTGCTGGACTAGTCAGTAAGGAAAAGTGTGATGTCACTATCAGTCTGTTATTTAGGGAACATTTTATGACCATTACAACTTCCACCATGTTTAATACCACCACAGTATGCACCTCTTATGAAGGCTGTAGGGTAAGAGGATCTGAGTGGAGAAGGTGTTGGGATTTTGGTTTCTTTATTTTTCCTTCTTATTTTTAAAATATACTAGTAAACACATTTAAGCTTGGCACTTCCAGAAGCTTACATGTGGGTGGGCTTGTTTGCTAATGGTGTGATGATCTTGTCCACAAGATCACAAGATCACACTTGTTTGGGCTTGTTTGCTAATGGTGTGATGATCTTGTTCACACTGCTACCCCTATATTTAAAACTGTATTTCTGACAAATTGGGTAAAACACGAGACAGTTCTGTTACTGTAGAGCAAGGGAAAAGAAAAGGATGGAATATTCTCGTATTGCAGCTTGAAGTCTCCAGAATCCATAATGTTAGGCCAAAGAAGTGCTTGACTGTTTAGGACTGTGTGTGCCTTTTTACCTTTTAGGTCAGACAGCCTGGAGGAGTACGGGACTCTACCTCCCTGAAGGGCACACAGCAGTTATAACCTTCCCTTGCCTGGCAGTCGGTTCGGGTCTGAAGGTAAGCGGTCTCTAGTTTGGCTTCTGTTTACACTGATGTATTTGCTGGGTGAGAACTCAAAAATAACTCACAGAAGGCTTTTCTCATTGGTTTTGCTGCCTTTTCAGTCCTTTCCTACTGCTGCCATCCTGTGGCACTTTCAATGCACTCTCATAATTTTTCATCTTGTTTTCCACTCTCTTCTCTTGCATTCTGTGTGCGGGCAGGATAATTGAGTATGGCTGCTGCCTGAAGGCAGATGTATTTGTTTTCTTACTGTGCAAAGAGAATTGATCAAGGTGATTTTTGGACCCAAGGTAAATACTTGGGCCCTTCTATGCGCCAAACTTCATTCTGTCACCCCAGCTCTCTCATAAGGTACTTTCACAGTGCTGTCACTATTGCTCATGTAGATCTATCCAGAATAGATATAAACTTGTTACTTGGGATCCTGTTCTCTGCAGAGTGTTGTGAACCAGATCAATGCTCGCCTGCTTGGATATTTATTGCAGTGAGCTGTCTGCAGCTGAAGTGCAAAGTTAACTCATAGAATCATAGACAGGTTTGGGTTGGAAGGGACCTTAAAGATCATCCAGTTCCAACCCCCCTGCCAGCAGCAGGGACACCTTCCACTAGACCAGGTTGCTCAAAGCCTCATCCAACCTGGCCTTCAACACTTCCAGGGAGGGGGCATCCACAGCTTCTCTGGCCAACCTGGGACACTGTCTCACCACCCTCACACCAAAGAATTTCTTCCTCACATCTCATCTCCATCTCCCCTCTGCCACTTTCAAGCCATCACCCCTTGTTCTGTCACTCCCTGCCCTTGTCCAAAGTCCCTCCCCAGACTTCCTGGAGCCCCTTCAGGTACTGGGAGGCCACTAGAAGGTCTCTCTGGAGCCTTCTCTTCTCCAGGCTGAACAGCCCCAACTCTCTCAGTCTGTCCTCACAGCAGAGCTGCTCCAGCCCTCGCATCATCCTCGTGGCCTCCTCTGCACTGGCTCCAGTAGGTCCATGTCCTTCTGCTGTTGGTGGCCCCTGAACTGGAGGCAGCACTGCAGGTGGGGTCTCACGAGAGCAGAAGACTCAGGTGTTTCTCTCTGATCCTGCAGCCACATGCTGTCTGTTTTACTGTATGAGGACCCAAGAAGAGAGCCAACAGTGACCACATGTCTCCAACTCGTATGTTACAGGATGTGACTTTGATGCTGGTGAAGGAATGATCAATGCAAGTATGGTGCAGTGAGAGAAGTCACTGTAGTACCCTGAAGTGCTGGTGAAGGATGTAGTACTCCCATAATGATGGGAGTAGAGCTGTAAGACTGTCTGAGACAGAGATAGTGCTGAACTTCAACAGCTTTTTTCACTGTATTTGCTGCTTGTGGTCATCACAGGTTGAAAGCTTGAACTAGGCTGAGGTCAGGAAGCTGCTTCAGTGTGCGTGCCCCGGAAGGACAGCGCTGCAGCAGAGAACCCAGCATGTTGTGGTCAGTCTGCCAGGTTGCATTTGGAGCCCTTTGACCAGCTGTTCCCACCCTTCTGTTTGCCAGGTGCAGATTGGCTGTCACACGGATGACCTCTCTCACGCCGCAGAGCTGAAACGGGCCCCGGTGGTAATACGCACCTGTGATATTGCCTGCCAGAAACAGACTATTTCCTGCCTTTGGGGTGGCCTCATTTACATCGTTGTACCAGCAAGGAGTGTCCTGGGGAAAGTGCCCATCTCAGTAGAAGGGGCAGTCAGAGCTCCTTTCTTCAAGCTTGGTAGGTTTGTTTACCTTGGTGCCTTTCTCCTTAGTGCTGCTCACAGATGCTGCTGTCTTTGTGACTGAAAGGAAAGATGGTCCCATGCTTAGGCATGTCTTAGAAATGCCCGAGTTTATGAATACCCAGATTTAGTGTCCTTGCTTTGTTGTCCTCTGGGATTCTTTGTAAGTCACTCATTCACTCTGTGCCTGCTACATGATAGGAAGTAGGTGAGGGAGCTGTCACAAAATGGGCAGAGTTTGTCCAAACCGACATTTCTTGGAGTCTGGGATTGTCATTTCCAATGGAAACCATTGTGTTGGAGAGAGACTGGCTGACCTTTGCCACAACAAAACTTGACCTGTGCTCTGCCTGCTTTGCTGTGCCCCCGAATAGCCTTCTCCAGTCCCTGCAGTAAATATCTCTGCTGAATTTCCCACGTTTCCATCAGTCTCCTCTCCTCTCCTCTCCTCTCCTCTCCTCTCCTCTCCTCTCCTCTCCTCTCCTCT